ATCTTCTGCAATCGCTGTCACCAGCGATCACGCCACCTCCACTTTCCCAATTCCTCAACTTGTTCCACGCTTGGAAACAATAAATAAACGCGAAACGGGGCTAAAACCGTCGAACGATGCTCGTAAACACGGTCACCCTAAACACCCGTTGAACGGGAGCAAGCATCGAACAGGGAGAAAAGGCCGCTTTTTGCCCGATTACCCGAAACCGGCGCCCGCTTAATTAATGATCGTTGAGCCCGTCTGGGCGAAGGGTTGGCGGCGGGTCCGGGACCTGGAAGTGGATGGCGCGGACAACGCCGATCAGCGACATCTCTCTCTCTCTCTCTCTCTCTCTCTCTTCAACCCCCTCTTTCCAACCCCTCCCGACGAATTTCGACGCGAAACATCTCCCCGCGGATAATTATTGCCTCTAAGAGGTAAGAAACTCGTCGCAGGAGGAGTAGACGAGGAGTAAGAAGTGGAGTTTATCATTATCATTATTATTATTATTATTATTATTATTGTTATTATTACAAGGGTTGATGTGAACAATCATTAATATGGCTATCGCAGGATAATTACAGGATTTTACAAGAAGAAGGGAGACAAGGAGGAGGAATATTTCAATCAAAGTCTGAGAGAGAGAGGGAGAGGGAGAGAGAGTTTGTTGGTCAAAGGGGAATATCTTTTTGAACGAAGGAGGGAGGGTGAGTTGATTGGAGACTGTTATTTTCCTTTTTTTTCGTTTTTTCAGTTTCTTTGACGATGACGAAACGAATGTAAAATAATATAAATAATAATAGTAATAATAATAGGTGTTACGCGCTTTGTGTGAAAATACGAGTTGGCGAGAAGTGGCTCGCCTTGGACCAGCGTTTAGAGCGATTGTTGTTCACTGTCGAGTAATTGAATCGTTCCTTCTTAGAAACGATATTTTTTTTTTTTTTTTTTTTATTTTTCTTCAGTTGAAGGAGACAGGATTCTTGATTCTTCGCGGAGGGGGGGATCAAAAGAAACAGGATTTCGTTTATGATAATCGCGTGTATATTTATCGTAATAACGATCATTTTGTGCGTTTCCTTGGTAATCGAAAGGAATGATGTTTATTATTCGTAATATTAATTGTTGTAAATTTTACAACACAAAGAGATTGTACATTCTTTTCAGAACTGTGGATACATTTTTAAAAATTCGTAAAGAATTTTATCGATATAAATAAAAGTATTGACTGCTTGAAAACAATAAATAACAATATACAGGTTTAGCTGAATGAATATAATTTAATAATGCGTGATTGCGCGTTTACAAAACATTTGAAGTATCGAAGAAAAATAAATAGATAGCACGTATAAAATTTCAGTGAACTTTAAATTCTATAACAAAAAGAAATCGTTTCAAGATTCCTTATATTTACCAGAAAATCGCAAACAATTGTTACGTTTCTCTTTCTCCTCTTTCTTCTATATATAGAAGAGAAAGAAGGGAAAAAGAGAGAAAGAAAAAAAAAGATGAAGCAGCATGGGACGTGACGGTAAGAGGGTGTACGATTTTCGGAGGGCTGAGATGCTAAACTACCCCATGGCGTGCGAGTGGACTAGGGGTGGTTCCGCGATGAGTCGTCAGGGGTTGAAGGAGAGAGAGAGAGAGAGAGAGGGGGAGAGAGGGATAAGGCAAAAAGAAAAAAGGAAAAAAAGAAAAAGAAGGAGCGGAGGAGGATGAGGGTGAAGGATGGAGAAGAGGCGGGGAGGTGCTGCAGCTGTATAAGTCTGCACGTGGAGTTTTCATAGAGTAACCAGGAGGGGAGGGAGGCGTTGGAAGCGTCGCGTGAGTGACACGGCCCTTATCGATATTTCCATCTCCCAGGATTTCCCCTGGAGAATAATCTTTAGCCGTCGATACTTTTGCGAGATCGGTTCAGAAGAGGTGCGCAAAACGTGCACGATTTATCTTTCTATCGAGTTTATAAGAAGAAGCAAGATGTGTGTGTGTGTGGATCGAGGTGAAATTAAAATACGGGATAAAAACGAGTATATTAATTCCATCCTTCGAATAAATACATAATTACTCGAATAAATTTTACGGATATTAATTCTTGGTATTCGTAGCCGATGTAAGCATCTATCGATAAATCACGGAGAGCGGATCGTTGTTCTCTCGTAAAGAGGCGTACAGCGCGTGGTTTTCTAGTCGTCGTTGAGATTGATTTCGTTGAATTTTAGAAAAGATAATAATTATTTGGAGTTTTGATACGAGTACAACTTGTGCGATTGAAATTTTGAAGATAAATCAACGCTTCAATTATTCCGTATCGTGTTATAGATTGCACTGAAATTCCATTGATGAATGCATAGTCTGTAAATTCACGCGTCGAATCGTCGAAAAACTCGAGGACGAAGCAATTTTTATCCAAATCGAGGAAAATTTCAAGTTGGTCACCCGGTACATGATCAAATTATCGATCGCACTAAAATTTCATCGATGAATCGACGCATAT